GGAGCTTTGCAAGGAGGTCCTGTGCCCAGCGGAGGTGTGCAGATCCTGGGATTTCAGGTTCTGTTCTCTGCCTAAGCCAAGCTCTGGATGCTGTTTCTGTAGCTTCACTGCATCACCCCGTGAGCCAGGGTGAGATGACAGACAAGTGGCTAGGACCCTGTTCTGGGTTTATAAACCAGATTCCTGGATTATATAGGCTATAAACCATGGTGTCTTTACTGCCAGCGAGGGTGGTTTATCCCACCTGACAAGCTGGGGTGCTGGCAGGGGTTTGTGTGAGCCAGTGTCATCATTGGGAGCCTCCTGCAGCAGGATTTACAGCCTGTGGAATGAGGTCAGTCTCCTGAACCACCCAGTTCAGTCTAAATTCAGAGCTGGTATCCTTGGAACTGTGCAGATGTTGTTACCCTGGCACAAGCAGCTGAAACCTCCTCTAGTGCCCTTTGTGCCAGGTAACACTCAGCTCCATTAGTCGCTGCCCTAAAATTAGTAAGTGAACAGTCGGATTTTTCCCAAGGAACTGGCTGTAAAAAACTTCAGCTGGGGATGGCTGGTGCCAGGTTTGTCCTGCTAGGCAGCATGCCTGGACCTGCAGAGCTCCGGGAAGAGGATTCAGCAGCTGGGAGGGAGCTGGCAGGGGATCCCCACATTGTCGTCGTTGGATTGAGCTGCAGGCACTCAGGGGATGAGCTGCCATGGGGCAGCAGCTGGGTCCTGCCTTCCCTGGGCACAGCAAAGCTGCTCCCTGAGCTGGGGACAGCCTAGAGGTGATGAACAAGAAGTTTTTTGTGCCAGCATTGTTGCCTCGAACAGCTTGTCCTGCCCCATGACACCCTCCGTGCTTCCTCTCCCCGAGCGCGACCTGTGGCTGATGACTTTTTCATGCTCTCAGGAAAGTGTGTTTGTGCTTGGAAATACCTTCCTGCTTTGTTTGTCGCTGTCACATTGTTTGCCTCCAGGCCGATACTATCTTCTCCTGCTTTCCAGCATTTTTCTAGTACCCTTGGGTGATGCTCCCGTGGGGCGTGGGTGTTTTCTGATCCTCCCCAGGCAGGTTTTGACAGAGCAGATTTTTTTGGCCATCCTTTCAGTCCCCAAAGGCCTCAGCCCCCCCTTGCCCCCAGCACTATCTCACCTCTGAATCTGGGGATTTTTCCAAACAATTGCAACACTCAGCAGGTTGGAGCTTTGCTTTCTCCTTCCTCCCACAGAAACCTGAGGAAGAGCAAACAGCTCTCTGGCCTCATAAGCTCACTGAGAGCTCTTGAGCTTGATACAGGAGCCGCTGGGGTGATCTCAGCACATGCGTGAACTGTACAAGCTCCGTCCCACAGTCCTGTTGTCCTTTCTTAATGGACTCAAGGGGGGCTTCGCTGAGGTTCTTTGCCTCAGTTAACCTCTGGAAGGCACGAAAGTGGTGAGATGGGGTCATCAGTGGCACTGCTGTCCCCCAATTTGCTGCATGCTTAGAGCTGAGTGTTTGTGCTCAGCAGCCCCCAGCACTCCCAAGGTCCTGACACTGTCCTTGCATGGATCCCAGAGTGGGAGCTGTAGCCAGGCATTCATGCCATGGCTTTGCCAGGACAATGCTGCTCCATGGGAGTGAGGTCCTCCCACTTCTGTGGGTCTGTTGATGAGCAGTGAGGGATCTGTTAATGAGCAATGAGTCCAGCTGGAAGAGCTTTGAGAGGGAAGCAAGTATGCAGTTCTGGACTGACTCTGGGTGACCTCCAGAGATCCCTCCTGGCCTGGGCATTATTTCCTCACTCTGTGGTAAGGCAATGGCAGTGTTCCCATCCACTTGCTGCCATCCATCATACAGGAGCAGACAGGGGACAGCACCTGAGTGCCCTGGCAGTAGACACCGCTCTTAGCCGTGAAACTGAATCGTAGTGGGCATGCCTGGCTGGGCTTGGGGCTGCTCCTCTGGTGTAGCTCTATAAGCCATCAGTTCCCCGTGTGCTTTGGGAAGGCTGAGCAGAGGCTGGTGATGCCAAGCAGTTCTGACCTGCTGGTGCCTTGCTTTTAGCTGCTGCCTTCTATATTATATAAATTATATATTTTTTCTGTAATTTCCCCATAGTGTTTCTAGAAGAGCTGCAGTGATGTTGGGAAATTGTGGTTGCTGCAAAAAGAAAGTGTTAGAAAGAGGATAAAAGTGTTTCCTTTGCTGGCAGATAAAGAGGGTATTCACTGTCTGGCCTTGGACCATCTTCCCATGTGGGGATGCCATGATAGGGCTGAGCAGGAAGATGTGAGGCTGTGGTGGGTAGTGTGAGTTCGGCTGTGGGTGGAAGGTGTCTCCATATCAGAGGTGGAGGTAACTCCGTCATACCCTCATATGGTTTGGGTTGGAAGGGACTTTAAAGGGATCATCTAATTCCACCTGATGCCATGGGCAGGAATACCTTCCACTAGACCAGGTTGCTCCAAGGCCTTTCCAACCTGGCCTTGAACACTTCCAGGAATGGGGCATTCAACACAGAGAGAGGAACCTTTTCTGGGGCATGGGGTCCTTGTCCCCCCTTGGGGCTGGCACCCTCATCTTGTCCTCAACAAGACCCCAGAACCTCCCTGTGTGGTGGGTGAAGGACATCCATGCTACTGTGGCGTGCCTGGAACTCCCAGGAGCCCTGGGATGGAGGTGTGAGCGTGGGATGCTCTCTTCTCTCAGCTCTGCTTTGCCCTCAAGTCCCCATTGCCCTCAAAGCCTGGTTCATTTTATAATGGTTTTCCAGGAAGAAGGCAGATGGATCAGAGCCACCCTGCACTGGGAGCTGTCAGTAACCCATGACCCCAATGTGCCGTCCCCAGCAGCACAACCCCGAGGTCCTGCCTGAGATCCTGCAGGGTGTAAACCCCTTGTCCAAATAACCACGAGTAACCCTGGCCCTGGGGCAGTCAGTGCTTCCTGGTGCGGAAGTGCCGCACGGGATTTTTGGCAGGGCAGAAGGAGCATGGGGCAGCCTGTCTACATCCCTGGGGGATGATGTTTGCCAGGAGGGTCATAGCCAAATCCAGGCCCAGTGCTTGGAGCATCCCTCACAGGACATGCTGCCAAGCTCACATGGGAAGCATGCGGGGTCAGGTCCCAAGGGCTTGGCCTCCCCCACCAGCTGGGACATGTCACTGGCCCCATAGGAGCTGGGGATGTTAACTCTGGCTTGCTGGGGCTCTAGCAGCCCAGAGAAGGCAAAGCTTTTGTGCTGGAGCTGATTTGCTCTTTGCTGTGTTTGAGCGCTTGCGCGGGTGCAGGGTTGCCTCTGGGGATGCCCAGGAGACTGCAGAGATGCCCAGGAGGATGCAGGGGTGGCGAGGAGGATGCAGAGATGTTTGGGAGGATGCCCAGGAGGATGCAGGGATGCCTGGGTGGATGCAGAAATGCAGGAGAGCCTGTCCCTGTGAGCAAGCCCTGCATGGAGTCAATGGAGGCAGAGCTGGCAGCCAGGAGTGCTTGCCCGGTGCCAGCAGCCTGTGTTTGCTGTACGTTGCCATGGCTGGTTGGTGTGGCCAGTAACCACAGAAGGTGGAGTGGCACACTAACAAGATCAACTTCCAACTCAGCAGCAGTGCCCTGCCAAATTGCTCGTTATCACCAGGCATAGTCAGTGTTATTAATTACTTAGATGCATGTGACATTTTTGCTTTGCCCTCTGGTATTAACATCACGCTTGCAGTGAATTCATAAGCATGAGCTCTATCACGACCCTGAGACTTGAGGAGTTGGGAATGCCATGGAAAACAATCCCAGTGATAGGCAGGAGCCATACCCAGCATTGCTGTGGGTGTCCAGGGACACAGTGGGGAGAGGCATTGATGGGAGAGGCAGAGGAGCTGTGACCATTCCCATGAGAGCTCCTCAGTCACAGGGCTTTGCTCGGAGGTTTTTGCAATTCGGAGCTGAAATTGGGGTGAGGTTTTAGATTGCTGATGGGTCCCCCCTCTCTCCCCTGACTGCTTGCACTGCTTGTACTTTTTTTGCAGCAGGAGCAGCATTAATAATGGGGTTTTATCCATGGTTCTCAGCTCCGGTGGAGACCTGGGAAGGAGCATCAGTTCTTCAGAGGTGGAGAGGGCGGGGCAGGGGAGTTTGCAAGAGATTTAGGAACAGGTCCAGATGCAATAGAGAGGCAAGGTGCTGGCACCACCCTCCCTCTGCTTCTAGTCATGCCTCAAGGGTGAATTGCCATGTCCCAGCAGTCCTGCCTGGGTGCTGTAGGGTGCTGCTGACTCCCAGGTGGCTCAGGGACTTAGTGGGTGCCATGCCCACTGGCTGGGGTGCACCATGGGTGCTGTATGTGGACTTTGGTAAGATGTCCCCACCCCAGCCCTGTCTTGGACTGTGTTTTTCCCCATCCCAAAAGAAGATGCCACGTGGCCATAGGCTGAGTCAGAGGGTGTGTCAGCCAGGGGACATCCCTGTGGGATTTGCCCTGGTTTGGGGTGTCCCTGGATGGGCTGAGTGCCTTGGCAGTTCCCACAGACCCAGTCCCTACAGGCGGAGCTGATTCACCAGCCCTGGAAGGAGGTGGATCCTGCAGTTGCACCCCTGCTGACTAAGGGGAGTCCCAGGGAGCAGATCAGCCTCTTGCCATGGTTCCCACCCATGGGATTGCCAAGGAGCCCAGTGGCAGCAGGACAGCCCTCACTCTGCTTTTTCCAGCCTGGGGCTCCATGTTTCTCCCCAGTTAGCACTGGGCTAGGGCAGAGGCCATCAGAGCATCTCCCTTCAAGGCCAGTGCTTGGGGACAGGCTGGGATCTGCCACCCTGCTCTGGGTTGTGGCTGCCTGCTGGGTTTGGTGTGGGTGGGAAGGTGACCTGGGAATGCTCTGGGAGCCAGGAGGACCATGGGGGCATGGAGGCTCATCCAGGCTGTCTGCATCCCCAGCTGGAGGACTGCACACTGCAGGTCTCACCCTCTGGACACTACTTGGACCTTGACTTGTCCCTGCTGGAGCAGAAGGATGATCTGGAGGGTTTCTACGAGGAGGTCAGGTGAGGTTCTTGAGCCCTCTGGGGACACAACACAGGGATCCCACGTGTGTGTGAACACTGTGGGCAAGGGCCTGGGGGCTGTGGTGGTCCCACTGAAGGCACTCACAGCATGTTTTCCTCCACCCTAGGAAGGGGAGACGGCCGACCTTGATCCTACGCACGCAGCTCTCCGTCCGAGTCCATGCCATCATCGGTGAGTCAGAGCTGTTTCCTACTCCTTGCTGGTGTGTGTCCAGGGGCTCAGCCTCCCTGGATGGTGGGGGATTGGCCTTCACAGTGTGTTTTGGCTAGGCTTTTTATGATGGACAGAGAGAGCAATACAGCCCAGTGCTGCTCCCACCCCGTAACGCCTCTCAGAGATCAGGGAACATGATCCCCATGGGGGACCACTGGGTTAATCCCCTCCATCCTCAGATATCAGGACTTTTGCCTCTTGGGCTGGGAACCCACCGCCCACAGCAGTTATTCTGGGTCATTCAGGCAAGCTCTCAATATAGCTTTGCAGGAGACAAACAAACAGCTCTTGTGCAGCAGAGAGTGCTGCCATGGCTTCAGGCAGCCTGCTCCAAGGTCCTGCAAAATATTTGGGAGTCTCAAGCCTTTTTTTTTCTCTTCGGCAGGGGGAAAACAAGTGCTGAGCAGAGCGATGCCAGATGGGCATCAGCTGGTTGTGCAGGGCTGCAGCTGAGCCATGCAGGAAGGCACAGGAAGCCCAGGGTCAGGGTCATGCTCATGCTCTTTGCCAGCAGTTCCCAGGCTCTGTCAGAGCCCTGGGCTCTTCTGCTTCCCCTCCTGGCTGCTCTGCTTTCCCTCTTGACTGCTCTGACAAGCTGATAAGCAAGTGGAGGAGGCTGCTGGGACATTGTGTTTTACAGGGCATGTCTGGAGGACTCCTTGGACAGCTTGTTTTTTTGCTTATTACAGCTCTAAGCCTGACCCAAATAAGTTGAGATGCTTGGCTAATGCAACTTTTGGATGTGGGAAGTGCTGACTCCCAATGGCTTTCATGTTCCCGTGGAGCTTTCCTGCTTCCCATTGCCCTGGCTGCTCTGTGCTGGCTCCTGCCTGCAGACACCATCCCCATAAGCACATAGGCTCCAGCCTAATGACTGCCCTTCTGTCCTTGAGCAGCTGGTGTCACACTGCTGTCCTTTCCATCCCCATCCTGAAGTTTTTCCCAAGCCACAGGACTGCTGGGGGCTCTGGGACCATGGCATGGCTGTACTTGGGGAGGAACAGCTAAAAGTAGCTCAGCCTCCTGCCCGTGTTCCTGTTTAGGTTCTGCACAGGAAACCAGAGGGGATATTTGTGTCATTGCTGTGCAGAAAAAAAAAAGGGCAAAAAAAGGAAATAGAAAGGTGGCAGGGCTGAAATAGGTAGCTGTAGAGCAGCAGCTGCTTCCACACTGTGTGTCTCACAGCTGGGGGCAATGCTGGCATCCAGGGGTTGAGTCAGGATGTGGGGCTTTCCTGGGCAGCTGGGTGTATTTGGGA